GAGGGAGAGGGAGAGGGAGAGTGAGAGGGGGTTCTGGCTGCGGCTCCCCATCCCGGCTACCATCGTGGAAAGGGGTGATTTGTACTACTCCGGTGACCTTGAAAAAGCACCTTTGGGACAATATATCTCTTAATTTCTTACTTGCTGCTGTCTTCTGTTTCCTTTTCACAGGGGCGCGCATCTGTTTGGGAGAGCAGATAGCGAGAATGGAAATTTTCCTTGTCTTTACCAACTTGCTGAGGAACTTCCGTTTCCAGCTGCCTAGAGGAGTTAAAAGATTAAGTGAAGAACCTATGAATGGACTTACAGTGCATCCCCATTCTTATAAAATCTGTGCTATTCCCCGCCACAATGCGTTGTAAATATCCAAATAATGATCGTTGCTTATTTATGACTGTGAACTTCTAAATGTCTGATTGGTCTTCGAACGGAACTGTTAACTGTGTTAATATGGTGCAGCTACAACATCCTTTCATTCCTTTTAAGATCCAGGCACGAGTCAGGAATATCCTGATTAGTCATACCCAGAATCATTGTGCAGAAGATGAGAGGCTGGCACCTCTCTTCTTGTGTCTTGATGCTTTCCTTTGGAGCAAAAAAATAATAATAATAATTGGGAAAAAACCAACTCCACCCACAGTAGTATGATGGGGTTAAGATGACCTCTGGCAGAGTTGGAGAGGCTGTACCCAATCCCCACCCATTCCCGCCCGGTTTTGACCTTCCAAGTGGCTGCTACAAGATGATAATGGTAACGGCCACAAAGATGGAGCGCCTAGACATGCCCTTTGGGGAATTGTTTATGACAGGCCTTTCAAAATGGTGGCCTGCAGGCTGGATGCGTCATGCAAAGGCCATGCCCATCCTGGATTTGTGAAGGCTAAAAAAACAACAACGTGATAATTCACGATACGTCAGGGGACGCAATCGAGTTTGACACCTGTGTTCTGTGGAGTTTCTCAGTCATCTGGTCATGATTGTACTAAAGATACTTTTTCGAAAGGTCTTTATTTGTTTGTTTTCCTTTGAAGGCATTTCCCTTCTCATCCTCAGTTCTGACTGAAGGCTGAAGACTTTTCGCTTCTCATCCAAGAAGCTGAAGAAGCGAAATGCCTTCAAAGAAAAACCAGAAAGTCTCACCTTTGACCTGAGAGAGAAACAGCTACCCCACTACCTAGTCCAGGTAAGGCTTTATATGCTTTGCAGTTATCTGGTCGGGCGTCCTCCGAATTCCATCCGCCGGCCAGTGTCGACTGGCGACTACCCGGAGGAGAGCCTTCTCTGTGGCTGCTCCGACCCTCTGGAACGAACTCCC